CGGTAGCACCACCGGGAAGAGTAAACACCCCCCCCCTTCCTTCGGCAGAAACCTGCCCGAAGCAACGCATTGATGGGCGGTCGTTTGGCGTTAAAAGCAGTCCGCTCGAACAAGAACACGAGCAAACAACAGAACAAGAAAATGAAGAAAAACAAGAACAAGAAGAACAAGAAGAACAAAAAACAAGAGCTAGAAGAACAAGCAACAAAACAAGAGAAAGAGGAAGAAGAAGCGAACGAAGAAGTGAAAGAAGAAGCAAGAAGCGTCCCGCCCGAAGGATTCCGAATTGTTCGCAGGCCTCCTCATTTATACCCACCACATCATTTACATGTACAGAAGCGGTATCGGGAGGACCGTGTGACTATTCTGTAGTCCTTTTGTATGAGAAGGGACTTAATCGTACTTGAAAGCGGTGGTTTTCGTCAACCATCGGAGAAGCGCCGCTTTTCGCACTCATTTGTCTCTCCAGGAAACAAAATGACGACTACTTTAGGCACTCTCTGCCCGCTCTGGTCCTTCTTACTGAAGGCGGGTGCACCTACATTCACCATCAATCTTGTTGAAGGCTTCCGTGTACGAAAACTGCCCGGGGGGACACCCACCAAACTCTTGATTCTACAAGGAAGAGACAAGCTTCAGCAATCTGTTTGCTACACATACCCCAGCTGAAGCACGGCTAGGTGAGGCGATTGGATCATCTGACCGGCCCACATGAAGAGGCGATCCGTCTCCCGAGTCGGCAGGTACGACGGCTTGACCTGGGGGTTCCGCCGAAACACGAGGGGGGGGTCGGACATGGTTTCTCTCCCATTTCACTCATCCGGCTGACCGTATAGTGTTGTGGTGGGTAGGGTAGGGGGTGCGTAGAGTGCAAAGGCTATGGGTGGGCGGGTGAGTGGAAGGATGGATGCATCTCTCTATCGGTGTATCTGTGTATCTCTTTATCTCTCTCTCTGTATCTATCTCTCGCTCGCTCGCTCGCTCGCTCTCTCTCATGCCCTGTGCAGTTGTCTCTTTCTCTATATATCTGTCTCAAGTATCTCCGGCTGTCTCTCCATCTGTCTCTGTCTTCTGGGACTCACCGTGAGCTCTCTTTCCTCCAACTCCCTGAGAATGGTCAGACGCACCGACGACCCTTCTCCCTCTTCCACCGCCACTTCCACCTCCTGTCGCCATCGCAAATCAAAATCAACAGGTGATCCATCCATCCAACAACAAACAAACCAAGCAAGAAAGCAAGTGCAAACGGCGCGTCTGTGGTCAGGTTGAGCTAGGCGTCAACACACACACGCGATTCGATTTCAACGCATCAAGAGACAACAGTTGCGGTGGGCAGCAACGCGCGCTCATCCCGATATGGGTAAACACCAAGATGGCAATCGAGGACGAAAAGTTGCACAGCAGTGGAGGCGAGGTCTCTCTACAGGGACGTTGTGTGCTAGGCCGGTTCACTCGCCCACATAACGGGCACAAGCCCTACTCGATAAACGACAGAAATAATCGATTGGTCTATTTACGCCAGCAGATTGCCGATGTCAATGTATACCGGCCACCTGCCCAATACATATCCCACCCATATATGAGGGGGGACCTCTGCTGCATATACCCATGAGTGACAATCAATCGCGCTGTTTTTTCCTTGTGGCTGCCTGCGTGCCTACGGGTCGCATCGCCTAAATACCCTCAGCACGTTGTTGCCGCCTCCGCTGGCGCTGACACTGGGCTTACCCTGAATCTGGTGACGAGTTTGCCGTTGACGGCAAGGATGATGTCGCCCGTCTCCACCACGGAGAACGCGGGGGTTCCGGCCATGCAGCGCCGAACTTCCAACACCTGCAAAGAGTCGTGTTGTTGTCGTTGTTAGTGTTGATGTTGATCTTGATGTTAACGATGACATGTTGTTGATATTGACGATGCTGTTGCTTTCGTTGCTGTTTTCTGTAGCTATTGTCATGCAACAATAAACCTTCTGGACTCTACCCAATCCCTCCTATTCCGCGCTTGTCAAGGCACGACTTGTGGATTTGAAAACCAGGGAAAACCAGATCATAAACTCGTTCCACCTGTTGTCCCAGGTAGTTGATGAAGGCTTCGGGTCCGGTTTCCAGAGGAAAGTTGGTTTGTCCAAACACACCACTAGCATGGGCAAGGAGTTCCCCGAAAATCGGGGGTAGAAAAGACAATGGCATGCTAGCCTCCCAATTCCTTACCTGCCCGCGTGTCTCTTCTTTGTCACCACGCAAACATCGCATGGTTCTCTCTTGTGTCAGCGGGAACGTTTTCGAAACACCCTTCAGCCCACATCCCCGCCGAAAAGCGACCCCCCCCCCCCCCCCTCCCCCCAAAAGTAACTGCTGTTGCTGCTTCTCACCTGCTTTTGTCGCCCTCCGCCGCACTTCCTCTCGATCCTTCGAGACCACTTCTCGCTCAAGCCGAGGCCCGCCCTCGCCTTGCTGAGCTCGAGGGTCACGAGCTGCAGCGGCAGGCACGGTGCCGCGCCGAGGAGACTTCTCCCGCTCCCCTCGGCGCTGACACCCGAAGCGTCCGCCTCCGGTGCTGTTCCTCGTGCTCGGTCCTCCTGGTCGCCCCCCCCCTCCGAGTCTCCCGCTGCTGCTGCTGCTGCTGCCGCTGCCGCTGCCGCGGTGTCTACATCTATTTCGATGCCCGTTGCCTCCGCTGTTGTCGTTGTTGTTGCTGCTGCTGCTTCTGCCGCTGACGCGCCCTCGTCCGCTCGCGGTTCTGCTCGTGATACCGGTGCCGCTGGTGCTGCCACCGCCGGCGCTCCCGCCGCTGTTGCTGGAGCTGCCGATGCTGATGCTGCTGATGCTGCTGATGCTGCTACTGCTGTTACCACTTGCGCTGCAGCCGCCGCGAGCTCTCGCTCTGCCTCCGCCCCTGCCGCGTCGAGGCCGTCCTCCGCGGGTCCCCCGTCAACGCCGACACCGCTGTCGTTGTCCGCAAGCACCCGCTTCTCTTGCCCCTCCTGCTGCTGCTGCTGCTGCTGCTTATCTTCCATCTCGTGCTCAACCGACGAACCACCCTCCTCCGCCGCCGCCTTGCCGAGCAGCAGGTCCCGCCGGAGGCGCTCTACTGCTCGCCGCACCACGGGGGCGGGCAGGCCGCGCATGGTCTGCTTCCTGCCGTCGGAGGTGGAGAAGGCGAACGAGTGCCAGAACGCCGACACCACGGGGACGGACTTCCTTTTACCCGGGGACGGGTCCTTGGCGTCCCCTCCCGTTCGCGGCGGTGACGGCGATGCCGCGTCGGAGCGGGGGACGGCGATGAAGAGGCCGCCGATGCAGCTGGCGATCTGGTCGAACTGCAAAACCTGGGGGGGGAACGATACGATATTGTTCGGCAAAAAAGAGAGAAAAAGCAGCGTACGCGACGTTCACGATACCATCGCCGAGCGGCAGATGGAGTAGAGCTGATAGGCGAGGAGGAGGAGCAAGGGACTGCTGAGGTGTTGTTCGTGTCAAAAAAGGAAAATAATCATCCGGACGCGGGACGGAAGGAAGGCGAAGCACTCTCCCTGCGTGACGCCCGGCTGGTGCGCCAAAAGCTGGTGTACCGACAAGGTGTGTTCAGACAGACTTAACGCCCAGAATAGACCGGTCGGAACCACACACAAAAATACGCCCATTTGCGTTGAACATGCATGCGGGTTTTCCACCACCGGAAGGCTTCCAACGACACCATCACAGCGTCTGTTACCCCTCTCGAGCATCGATCGATTTCTGCATCTCCAAGCTGGTGCAAATTGAACCGTACTTGGGCCACAGAAGCAGCAGCGGCACCGCCACAACCACAACATGAAACCAAAGCAAAAAAAACACACACACACACACACACTCAACAGAAAACCGAATCCCCACACTTGCACCGGTCCGCAAAAAACAGAGGCAACAGAAACCCCAAACGTACGCCGGCCCAAAAAATATCGCTCACCTCGACGGTGTGGGCGGTGAACTGGGGGTGTGCGGACGATGCCAGCGAGAGCCTCTCCAGCTTGACCACCGCCGCCCGCTGCCGAACGGGAGCGTTGGCCGCCGTCAGCCCGTAGAACTCCGCCGTGTCCCCGGGTCTTAGCGGAGGAGGCGTGTCTGCTGCGTCGCTGCCGCCGTCGGCGGTGACTGTGTCGGTGGTAGTCGTGGAGTTCTGCTTGCAGCAGCTGCTGCTGCTGCTGCTGCTGCTGCTATTGTCGAGCTGCGGCGTTGGTGGCGGTGTTGCGGTGGTGCCCGCCGTCGGTGCCTCTCGTTCCTCCTTGTCCTTGCTGTCGCCGTCAGCGGTGGCCGCGGTGGTGTCGGCAGCGGCTGTCTTGTCGGCGGCAACCTTCCCTCCGTCACAGCTGTTGATGCCGCTCCCTCCGCTCTCGTTCTCGCCGCCGTTCTCATCATCGCCACGCTCGGCGTTGCCGCCGGCGCAGTTCTTGCCGCTGTCGTCGGAGCAGTTGTCGTCACTCTCGACGTCGTCGTCGCCGCCGTCGACGTCGCTGCATTCTTCTTCCAAGTCCTGGTCCTTGTCTTTGTCTTCGTGTTCGGTCTCCCTGGAGGAGAGGAGGGCTGCCGTAAAGGAGCCGCTGACGAGGGAAGGGTCGAACTTCACCACGCCGAAGTTCTGGGTGGGGTGCGAGAAGATCGGACGCGCCGCTACTTCCTGTTGTTGCACGCACGCACGCCGCGCCAGGCGGTCGGTCAAGCGCGGAGCGACACGACCAAGTAGAGAAACGCGAACCGAGTTGGTTGGGTCGTCATCGTAATAAAGAGCACGAAATTTTCACACGTGAGTGGTCGGCTCAAAAGTGGTGTGGGTCTCCCTCACCCCTTTCGATACGCGCCGCTCCAAGTGCTCCCGACGTCCGCTCGAGGCGCGCGCATATGACGCCGCCGTCGGTAAAATACCGTATATGACACAAGATAACACACCCCCTGGACCGATTTTCAAAGCTCGATTACTCCACGACGAAGAGGATGCATAAACGAAACAATACATTTTCGAAAACCTCTCGACGAGACGGTTCCAACGCCGCCGTTTTCGGCGCTGTGACTCTTCCTGCTGTTGAGAAATCGAGCTTTGAAAATCGGCCCAGGGGGTGTGTTATCTTGTGTCATATACGGTAACCGTCCGCACCAAGAACGCAAAACAACACGCCGAGATAATCCCAACCTACGCTTGAGATGGCAAGGATCGCACCGAAAAATAATATCTCGCCTTCGGTACACGAGTGGCATGTGACATGCCGGTCGTCGCCGTTTTTTTACGACCCGCCAAGCTGCTGGTAAACTCCAGTCTACTAGACACGGCAAGGATCGCACAAATTCACAAACTGAACACAAGACAGCTCCTATGTGGACGGTAGAAGAGAGTGGCACAGAGATCAACCACAACAACAACAACAACAACATAAGACGCCTCCTATTTGTACACGGTAGAAGAGAGTGGCACAGCGATCAACCACGACAACAACAACGAAAACACAAGACGCCTCCTATTTGTGCACGGTAGAAGAGAGTGGCACAGAGTCAACCACAACAACAACGCTTCCAATTTGTATAGAGAGTTGCATACCGGTTGTCGTCGTTCTCGAGAGACCCACCTCGCTGCCGTTGAAGGTGAGCATGACGTCGCCGAGGGAGACCTGAACCGTGTTCCTGTCCACGACCACCAGGCCGAGCTCCGCGTCCACAATGACGCCCACGCCGATGCAGTAGCTCCCGGACACGCCGTCCACCTGACAGTGGCCGCGACCCACCACCACCACCACCACCATCCGCATCATAGACAAGACGCATGGGTAGGAGTATGTTGACATACATCACCACCACTACCATCACCGTCTACATCATAGACAAGACGCATGGGTGGGAGCATGTGACACCACCACCACCACCGTCCACGCCATAGATAAGGCGCATGGGCGGGAGCATGTTGTGCTAATGACTTGCTTTTATGAGTTCGGAATGAAGCACATACATGTGAACGGGACCACCATCACCAATCAGGTCATGGACTGTCGCACGGGCAGAGGCATATTTTGCTATTGTCCACCTGACAATCGCTAACACCATCATAAGGCAGATTCATGGGTAGGAAGCCTATTGTGCTAGTGACTACCATTTTGTTATTAAAGCTCGGAATGAAGCACACACACTCATGGATGCACTCTATTCAATTTTGCAAGTGTTCTCTTTTCAATTGGTCAAGTGATTGCGGGCGTTCGAGTATCTTTGCCCTCTGACAACCAGAGTCTACGACAACAGCAACAACAACAACGACAAACAAACTGAGGCTGGTGTTCGATCTTCTGCAGCCGGCAACAAAAAAGGAGAGTACGCCCCCCACTGAACCCGACGTGAGGGAGCAGGCAGCAGGGTGTCGGGTAGGTTCGGGGGTTCCGCAGTAGCCCAACACATGAATAAGACAGAGAGGGGGGGGGGGGGGGGGGGGCCCCAAAAGGCGGGGAAGGGGGGGGGGGGAAAAAACAAAAACAACCCAACCCCACCCCCCCCCGGGGGG